ATGTAACCTAATTTGTTTTAAAAAAAAATCCTTTTGTCATCTTTTGATAGACATTCAGGGGTTTCCCATATTTGTTATTACAATAAAGTCTGCAAATTTGTTAGTTTTCCTATAGGATAAATTTTCAGAGTTAGAAGTGGTGAAACAAAGGGATATGTATTTGTGACCTTGACAGGTGTTGTGAATTGCTCTTCCCAGGGTTTGTACCATTTTATTCTCCCATCAGTGATGTACAAAAAGCCTGTTTCCCCTCACTGTACCAAGAGTATATTCTCAACCTTTTGGATTCTTGCCAGTCAGACAGATGAAAAATTGTTGCTGTGTCTCTAAGAACTGAGAAATCATTCCCAGGAGCTGCTCCAGCAGACTTATTCCCTGGAACAATAGGCCCAAATTTTCATGCTTCAGATTCTCCACACATACATGTCCTCTGTCTGGGACACGCTTTCCCCAAGCTTACCAAGACCAGATTCGCATTTCTCAGAACTCAGCACAAATGTCCCTACCTAAGATGAGCCTTTCAGATCAAATTCTATTTTTATATATATACCCCTCCCAACCTCTCTTACACTCTCTTTTTATCCTGTTGCTTCCTTGATTTTTCTTTTTCATTATTTATAAATTTGTGAAGGTGTTCTCCTTTCCCTCTTCAACAGGAAGGACAAAAGTCACCCTTGTCAGTCTAGAGAAGGCCTCAAAGGAATCTACCTAATAAAATTTACCAACTAGCCCTTATCTTTTATTAGCTCCCCCACATATTTGCCTTCCTGTAATTTGCCACTCTAGAAACTCAAAGTCCATTTCCTTTGCCTTGCCACTTCTCTATAAATGCATTGTTCTTTTGTTAAGACGCTCTGTGAGCCCTCGTTCTAACCACTGCTTTGAGTTATTCATTGCTGGGTACTCCCGTGCGCACACCTCTGTTTGTCTTTCTCTCATTAATATTCCTGTTGTCAGTCTAATTTTCAGGGCCCTGGTCAATGAACCTAAGATGAGTAGAGCAAAAAAATCTCCCCTCCCCTACAGCTCTTAGGAAAAATGATAAGCCGATGTCCCCAATCTAGAGGGGCTTCCCATATCCCAAATGGGCAGTAGAACTTCATAAAGACCGGCTGGGTTTTGGCCTGTTCTGTATTAGTGGTTCACAATCTTTACACCTAGGAAATGCAGAAAGACTACTACTGAGACAGGACATCACTTGTAAAATTCTTCATCTTTTACCAGGAAATGAAATGGTACATCTCTTGCAGAGTTAATCTTTTTAGTAAACCTAGTTAAGTTTTCTTCTCTCCTTTCTTTGGAAAAAAGGCCCTCTCTCTCAAATCCTGATAATTGCCCAAAACTGGTAACGCAGATAATGTCCCTGAAAATGGTAACTCAGGACATCATGTAGAAATGGCCCTAGGTCAGGCAGGGTACTTAGAGTCTGAGAGGGGAGGGGACTTTAGGCCAAAGGTCATTTTACTCTTTAAGAAATATGTTAACCAAGACTGTTTTCCTTACATGCTTAATAGGCAAATCAATAATAGAAATGAATAGATTTATGATTTAAATAACAGTTTGTATCTTCTCTTCCTTGTCTAGGGACTGAGGCAGCACTTCAGCAGAAAATCCAAGACCCAAATTCTGCCCTGATTAAGGCAGAAAGAGAAAGAGCTCCATGAAACCTCCATAGGCAGAGACTATGCCCACTCTCAGGAGGAGGAAGATAATACAGAAGAGACCTCCTGTCCCTCAACATCCATACTAATAACAAAGGGGTTCATGGCTCTTAGAAAAGAGGTAGGCAGGAAAGTTAGTTAGGGGGTTTTGGGTCTGCCTGCAAAGACACTGAGGTCATCCTATCCTAGAAGGGGTCTTCCCTAATCTGCCCACAATTAAGCAAACCAGAAGGCATCTTCTAACTCACACAAAGAGACCAGTAGGCAGAGAATTAGGTACCAGTTTAAGTCAGTCACTCGCACCTGTGACCTCCAATGACCTCCAACTCACCTGAGCCTCATTATACCATCATTATAATATGATGCATATGCCCGGGAGTTCATTAATATCGTTATAACAGACTGAATTCTGGGAACAAACGTGCAGAAAGCAAAATGATCAATCACTGAGTCCTGTCAATCTTAGCTGTCAATCAAAGAAGCCCATTCCTCTAAGAAAAGTAACCACCCACAGCAAAAAAGGGGTAAAAACCCTGAAGTCTTTGTTACCAGGCCTTCTAAGCCATGCTTCTCTTGCTCAAGCTTCCACGTCTGGAAGTGTACTTTCCCTTCTAGTAAAATTTTTCTACTGTAGTTCGGTGTCTCGCTCAATTCGTTGTTCGAGACATCAAGAACCTGGACAACGCGCTGTGAGAGGACCTCACTCTCCAGTAACAGTACAGGATAAACAAGATTGGTACGTGACGGATGAGTAAGATACGTTTAAATATCTGAGAGTTGGTGACAGAGCTTCTCGACCTCTTTGAAATTACAGCTGAGAGAGTGTCACAGAGGGTTCCAGCCCAGATCTCTGCATCAGGATACCGGAGGGTGAAATTAAGCTTTTTTTTTTTTCTTTTTCTTTCCATTCACATGAAACTCCAAATGCAATCATAGGAAGCAACTTAAGCTTTCTTCCAATCTAAAGGCACCCGATTCTCTTTAGCATTTTTCAAGCTTAGGTGAGATTATTCTAATTCTGGACATTTAACAGCAGGATGTGTTTAGTCCGGGTATCAAAAAGTTGATATCTAGGGAATCAGTATAGCTCCGAAATCCATCACTTTGGGACACCATCAAATCTGTCAACTGAAAATGAGAAATGGCCAAACCCGATAGCCAGACCAGAAAACCTCTGGGAGTTTAGTGAGAGCGCCCCTCACTCTAGTGGGTATCTCCGGGGCTGAGAGATGCTGGAGAGTAAAAGAGCAGAATAAACACACCCAAACACATCCACTCCACA